AACTCCTGACCTCAGGTGATCTGCCTGCCTCAGCCTCCCAAAGTGCTGGGATTACAGGTGTGAGTCACCACATTCAGCCTAAATAAGTACTTTTTAATGGTGACAGAGTGATATCAATATCTAAAGTTCTAGTCTATGTCTCAACATTGAGAAGATGTCCAAAAATGAGAAATTGTTAAATTATAGCCTAAAGCTGTTTCTTATTGTGTTTAATTTTGGTGAGTAGGTTTTTTTAATATATAGTAAACGGAAACCTAACTGGATATGTAAATAGACTGTAACCCATTTTTGTACCAACTGCTGTGTTATTGTGAATAAGAGGACATCAACTGTTCAAACCATGTTCAAATAAGGCAAATTCCTGGTTGGAATCAATCTTGCTGTTTGTGTACCTCACTTTCATTATCTGAATGTCACTTTGCTTTTTCTGTCCATAAATCCTTTTCCCATCATGTGGCTGTGCTGGAGTCTCATTGAGCCTACTGTGGATCCACAGTCTACCTGATTTGCAAATTATTAATTGCTCAATTAAACTCTGTTAAATTTAATTTTATGTCTCTAAAGTTTTTTTTTCTTTTAAAAGTTTTCAAATTTTTTCTATGATGAAAAATGTATAATGTGTTGTTGGGCCTTTTCTTTTTTTTTTTTTTTTTTTTTTTTTGAGAGTTTCTGCCATGAGTGCGTCTCACTCCTCCCCCCCCCCCCTCCCCTCCCCCTTCCCCCCCCCCCCCCTAGTTTTGTATTTTTAGTAGAGACGGGTTCATGTACAGATGTTCGATCTCTACTGTGATGCCGTTCGCTCCAAGTGTGGTTACGCTTGAGCCCCCGCCCCTCTCTTTCTTGAGACGGAGTTTCACTCTTGTTGCCCAAGCTGGAGTGCAATGGTAGGATCTTGGCTTACTGCAAACTCGGCCTCCCGGGTTCAAGTGATTCTCCTGCCTCAGCCTCCAGAGTATCTGGGTTATAGGTACTTGCCACCAAGCTCGGCTGATTTTTTGTATTTTTAGTAGAAACAGGGTTTCACCATGTTAGCCAGGCTGGTCTCAAACTCCTGACCTCAGGTGATCCACCCACCTCAGCAACCCAAAGGGCTGGGATGACAGGTGTGAGCCGCCATTCCCGGCCAAATTTTTTCTATGATGAAAAATGTATAATGTGTTGTTGGGCTTTGAAATTTTTCTTTTTCTTTCTTTATTTTTATTTTTTTTTTTTTTTTTGAGATGGAGTTTTGCTCTTGTCATTCATGTTAGACTGCAATGGCAGGATCTCCACTCACTGAAACCTCCGCCTCCTGGGTTCAAATGATTCTCCTTCCTCAGCCTCCCAAGTAGCTGGGTATACAGGTGAGCACCACCATGTCCAGATAATTTGTATTTCTAGTAGAGATGGGGTTTCACCCTGATTGGCCAGAATGGTCTTGAACTCCTCATCTCAGGTGATCCACCCACCTTGGCCTCTCTGGGATTACAGGTGTAAGCCACAACACCCGGCCAGCTTTGATTTCATAAACTCAGTCCTTAGCTATTTTTCCAAATTATTTTATGTCCTTTTTGATTTATTTATTTATTTTGAGACAGGGTCTCACTCTACTACCCAGGCTGAAATGCAATGGTGTAACCAATCATGACTCACTGCAGCCTCGACCTTCCAGGCTCCAGCAATCTTCCTGCCCCAGCCAACTGAGTAGCTGGGACTACAGACATGCATCATTATGCCTGGCTAATTTAACATTTTTTTTTCACGGAGACAAGATTTTACTGTGTTGCCAAAGCTGCACTTGAACTCCTGAGCTCATGTGATTCTCCCGTTTCAGCCTCCTAAAGTACTATGATTACAGGTTTAAGCCACCATCTGCTTCTGAAATTTCTTGAGAGAATTATTCTCAATAATAAACAGTACCATATTGGCATGAATCTAAAGAACATCTGTCCTCTATGGTAGAAGTTTCACTCTCCAGGATTTCAAAGGACTAGGGCAGATTCTGTAACAGTGTTATCTACGGTGGTGCATGGACTTTGAAGTCAGACAGAATTTATTCTGAATCTCAGCTCAGCCACTTAGTAGCTGTTAGTCTTTGGACAAGTTTCTTTCTGTGGAAGAGTTCTATAAACCATGTACATTAAAAAGGGCAGAATAATAATGATTGCCAAAATGGTCGCAATTTTTCATCCTCCTATATTCCTGCCCATTGCCAGATGCTTTTACAGTTATTCTATTGAGATCCAGTATCTGCTTTCTGAACGCTAGATCTGGCAGGTCATATTTGCTCAGGGCAGTAGAAACCTGTGAACGTGACAGTGGGCTAGTTTGGGGCCCAAGCTCAAATGGTCTTGAATGTTTCTGCTTTTATTTCAGAATGCTGCCATCTCCATGGGAAAAATCCATGTCAGCCAGCCGGAGAATAAGATACCATGGAATGAAGAAAAAAGTTGCCCCTGTTGACAGCTCCAGAAGCAGAAGCTCACTCCCAGAAACACAGCTGCTTAGTCAACAAGCAGTTGATGATACATGTCTAAAAATGCTCAGCTGAGACTAGAGAAATGGCCCCACTGAGCCCAGCCCAAATGGCTGACCCTTTCAATTATGACTAATAAGTTTTGGATGGTTTGTTATGCTGCAATAGCTAACTAATACATGCACCCAGTGCAGATAGGATGCCAGGATTTAATGACAGATTCAGTACTACTTATCTTCTCACAGTGGACACCCTAAAGGTACTATTTTTTTCCCTCTGATTTAGAGTTGGATGTCTTGTAAGGTAATATTGAGTAATGCAGAAATAATGTAGATATTGTATGCATGTGATTGGTGCTTATATCCACACAGTTCCTCACACTACAGGAGAAAATAGACAACCACAGCCTAATCATAAGGGCCAAGGCCAAAGAGCAAAATAAGCTTGTCTTTAATCTATTTTTTTCATCTAAAAATTGGAGGTCAAGAGTGTGGACAGACCTGAAGACATAGGGTTCTCTTCTCCTGTGGCCACATCATCCTTTGTTCACTGTCTGATCTCTAGAAGGAAGGAGGGCAAGACGTGGCCAGCAGTGGTCTACCTGTGGTTATTTTATTCCTGTTGCTCTCTGCTCTTTTTTTTTTTTTTTTTTTGAGGCAGTCTTGCTCTGCCACCCAGGCTGGAGTGCAATGGCGTGATCTCAGCTCACTGTAACCTCTGCCTCCCAGGTTTCAGCGATTCTTCTGCCTCCCGAGTAGCTGGGATTACAGGCAGGTGCCATCATACCCTGCTAATTTCTGTATTTTTAGTAGAGACTGGGTTTCACCATGTTGGTCAGTCTGGTCTTGAACTCCTGACCTCGTGATCCACCTGCCTTGGTCTCCCAAAGTACTGGGATTACAGGCATGAGCCACTGTGCCTGGCCTGCCCTCTGCTCTTTCTATGGCCACTATCTGTTCTACCCCCAGAACTGAAGAGAGATGTTGGTAGGGAGAGGCTGTCCCCTCACCTCTGGCAGAAAAGGGATATTCAGACCATTCACCCTCCTGATGTCAGAGCTGCACTTCAATGTAGCAGCTGTTGGCCATGCGTTGCTACTGGGTGCCTGGAATGTGCCTGGTCTGAACTGCGATGTGCTAGAAAGGTAAAATACGAGTTAAGTTTCAAAGGTTTAGTTCCATATATATATACACACACACACACACACTTCATTAATAATTACATATTTCTCACACATTAAAATGACGATATTTTGGACATATTGGGTTAAATTGTTACAATCAATTTCACCTGTTCTTTGTTTCTTTTTAAAAAACAGAGCCAAACTCTTTTTAAATTTGGCTACAAATAAGCTGGGCATGGTGGCATGCACCTGTAATCCCAGCTACTCGGGAGGCTGAGGCAGGAGAATCGCTTGAACCTGGGAGGTGGAGGTTGCAGTGAGCTGAGATCACGCCATTGCACTCCAGCCTGGGCAACAATGCGAGACTCTGTCTAAAATCTAAAAAAAATAAAAATAAAAAAATAAAGTTTGGCTACTAGAAAATTTAAAATTTACATGTGACTCACATTTTATTATTTTATTTTATTTATTTTTTATTTTTTTGAGATGGAGTTTCACTCTTGTTGCCCAGACTGGAGTGCAGAGGCATGATCTCCGCTCACTGCAACCTCCACCTCCCAGGATCAAGGGATTCTCCTGCCCCAGCCTCCCAAGTAGCTGGGATTACAGGCGCCTGCCACCATGAATAGCTAATTTTTTTGTATTGTTTTACAGACGAGGTTTCACCATGTTGGCCAGACTGGTCTCGAACTCCAGACCTCAGGTGGTCCACCTTCCTAGGCCTCCCAAAGTACTGAGATTACAGGCGTGAGGCACAGCGCCCAACTTGTGGCTCGCATTTTATTTCAGAGAATTGCCTCCTTTTTAAAATCCCAGGCTGCCTGCTCAAAGGACCAGTAGCCAGGAAGGTCATAAAATATAAAATTTTAGAACTATTGGGCCGGGTGCGGTGGCTCACGCCGAGCCCAGAGGCTCGGCTGCAAGGAGGCCAAGGTGGGAGGATCACCTGAGGTCGGGAGATCGAGACCAGCCTGACCAACATGGGGAAACCCCGTCTTTACTAAAAATACAAAAAAATTAGCCAGGCATGGTGGCGCATGCCTGTCATCTCAGCTACTCGGGAGGCTGAGGCAGGAGAATCGCTTGAACCCGGGAGGCGGAGGTTGTGGTGAGCCAAGATCGCGCCATTGTACTCCAGCCAGGGCAACAAGAGCGAAACTCGGTCTCAAAAAAAAAAAATTTTTTTTTAGAACAATTGTTGTATTCTTTTCATTTGTGATAGCCATATAGGATATTATTTATAAGAGCATATGACCTTACACACAAGATTAAAGGCAAACAACCTCTAGGGTGGGCCTAGCTCAGCTCACGGAGGAAGCCTTGCCTGAAAAGGCTGCAGCCTAGGCGGTCACACTTCAGCCCAGCATCTGATCACATCTTCCGTCACTCAGGGTCTGAAGGGGCGGGTCTTAAACATTATCCAATCAGGGACTCTGAGCTAGGGGACTGTTCAATCAGACACGCAGCTGGACCCGACGGGGCGGCTTCCGGGTTTGGCGCGGCCTTTGTCTCTCGCTTCAGCCGGAGCTCCAGGTCTCGTCTTCGCTACTCTTTGTCCTCTGCTCTTAGAGGCCCAGACTCTGTGGCTCTGTGACCGACAGGTATTGGGAGATCCACAGCCAAGACGCCAGGACCCCCTGGAAGCCTAGAAATGGTGAGAGTGCGGTCCGACATCCCGAGAGAGGGGAAGGGCTGGTTGAAACCGGTGGGAAGTGGCGGTGGCGGGACTCAGGCCTCCCCGCAGTCATCTCCACAATCTGCGCCCCGAATTCTGCTTGCCCAGCTGGATCTCAATCCTCTTCAGCCATAAGATGGCGGCTGCGCCGACAGCCGCGCCCCCGGGCGTCCTGTCTCTTCCCTGCATAGTGACAGTGCCCAGGTCTGGAGCCCTCTCTCGCCAGCTCTGCACTGGCAGCGCGGCGCCTTTCGCAGATTGTGCACGGACCATGGGAGGAGCGTGAGGGGAGAATCCTGACTTGGGGTGCGGGTTCATGAATGGGAAGAGCTTTGGTCCGTGGGGTTCCCCGTTCCTGTTTTCTCCTATTAAAAATCTGTGGCAGTCATCGCAAAAAAATTAAAGAATTTAATCAAAGAGTGATTCAATAATTGTAGAGCACAAAAGTATGTTTTGTAGTTTGTGGTTCATGGGAGGAGCTTGAAGGAAAGACTTTTATAAGGTACATGATGAAGAAAACTACATTTAATAATTGGTTAGGTACAGTTAAGCAGTTTTTGTTAAGTAGAAACCCTGGGACTAGAGCCTCCTCAGTGTAATTGCCTGCCCCTTAATTATTCTCACACTCCACAGGGGACTGATTTTTCCACTGCATTTTTCACATGCATTCCCAGCAGGGTCTCAAGTGTACTTCCCAGCCCCATTCCTCCAGCCTAACTCTGGCCTGCAGTTAGATTTAAACTGCAAATAAACTAAAATACGAAATTTCCAGTTCCTTCTGACATTTCCAAATGCCAGCTTCTCTTTCCTAATTCACGTTCTCAACTGTTTTTCCTTTAGTGTACGTTTTTGATACTGTATTTTAGTTAATCATTTTTTGACAAAGCATTGGATGGCACTTAAAATTGTTTTCTGTTTGAAAATATTTCTCGTGAGAAGAAAGCAAAAAATAATTCCCTGACACTGTATTTTATGAAATTTCTATGCCTTTTTTTTTTTTTTTTTTTTAAATCTTCCTTAGGCACAGAAATCTTATCAGAATGTTTTCAGGTGAAGGTTTTTGGAGGTACGGAGTGTAGCTTCTCAAGGGAGTAGGTGGATGCCCTGGGGCTAAGCGGCATCTCCTGGCATACTCTTCCTTTGAAAAGCTAACCCCTTGAGACATTTTGTGTTCACCCAACCCAGCTTTCATTTCTTGGAGACACAATGCTGGTCAGCCAATCAGATGCTGGTATTGAGGGGAAAACACGGAAATAATTTCTGCCCTCTGAATTCTCTGAATTTTGTGGGGAAAAAAAAAAGGTATCCCAAAAGACAAAGAAAAACCTGACCCAAGTGAGATGGTGCAAGAACTTACAAAGTAAAATGCACCTGGGGGCATAGTGTAACGTCTCCTGAGAGGGTGGTTATTGAGTACTTAAAGTGAGCAGACTGGGGCAGGTGAATATCAGTCAGACACATCTGTTTCTTTCTTTTCTTTCTTTCTTTCTTTTTTTTTTTTTTGAGATGGAGTTTCACTCTTGTTGCCCAGGCTGGAGTGCAATGGTGCGATCTCAGGTCACCGCAACCTCCGCCTCCTGGGTTCAAGCAATTCTCCTGCCTAAGCCTCTCGAGTAGCTGGGATTACAGGCATGCACTACCATACCTGGCTAATTGTTTTGTATTTTTAGTGGAGACGGGGTTTCTCCATGTTGGTCAGGGTGGTCTCGAACTCCCAACCTCAGGTGATCCGCCCGCCTTGGCCTCCCAACGTGCTAGGATTACAGGCAAGAGCCACCGCGCGTGGCCTAGACACATCTGTTTTCTAATTAGCACTACTACTCCCTGGGTTTGTCACCTTGAAAAGATTTGTTCACTTATGTTGACTTCCATTATTTAACTGTAAATTGCATTTTATTAGTAGGACTTGAAAGGTAAGAAAATATTAACAAGGTTCATAAAAGAGGTGGATTTCAGATAAAAATTAATATTAATCATGTATTTTACTTGTAAGAAATTCTCATTTAACTTTTCCTTTCTTAGCGTAAGTTTAGAAATGTTCTCAGGTGTATTTTTTCGTGAATATATATATAATCAAGTATATATATATACACATTTATATTTATATTTAATATGGACTCTTGCTCTTGTTGCCCAGGCTAGAGTGCAATGGCACAATTTCAGCTCACTGCAACCTCCGCCTCCTGGGTTCAAGCGATTCTCTTGCCTCAGCCTCCCGAGTAGCTGGAATTAGGGGCGCCACCATGCCCAGCTAATTTTTGTATTTTTAGTAGAGAACTGGATTTCTCCATGTTGGCCAGGCTGGTCTCGAACTCCTGATCTGGACACACAGAGAGATATATATATGTAAAATATAATATATACATATATAATATATATAAAATAATATATACACATATATAATATATACACATATATATTTAAGGATAGATCTTTATTTTTAAAATTTTTTCCTATAAGTTATTCAAGTACAGGTGGTATTTGGTTACATGAGTAAATTCTTTTTTTGTTTGTTTTTGAGAGGGAGTCTCGTTCTGTTGACCAGGCTGGAGTGCAGTGGCACAGTCTCAGCTCACTGCAACCTTCACCTCCTGGGCTGAAGCAATTCTCCTGCCTCAGCCTCCCGAGTAGCTGGGATTATAGGCAAGCACCACCATGCCCGGCTGATTTTTGTATATTTAGTAGAGACAGGGTTTCACGATGTTGGCCAGGCTGATCTCGAACTCCTGATCTTGTGATCCACCCACCTCAGCTTCCTAAAGTGCTGGAATTACAGGCATGAGCCACTGCGCCCAGCCTACATGAGTAAGTTCTTTACGGGTGATTTGTGAGATTTTGGTGCACCCATCACTGGAGCATTATACACTGCAACATATTTGTAAGTCTTTTTTTTTTTTTTTTTTTTTTTTTTTTTTTTTGAGACGGAGTCTCGCTGTGTCTCCCAGGCTGGAGTGCAGTGGCGTGATCTCGGCTCACTGCAAGCTCCGCCTCCCCGGTTCACGCCATTCTGCCGCCTCAGCCTCCCAAGTAGCTGAGACTACAGGCGCCCGCCACCACGCCCGGCTAGTTTTTTGTATTTTTAGTAGAGACGGGGTTTCACCATGTTAGCCAGGATAGTCTCGATCTCCTGACCTCGTGATCCACCCGTCTCGGCCTCCCAAAGTGCTGGGATTACAGGCTTGAGCCACCGCGCCCGGCCCATATTTGTAGTCTTTTATCCCTCGTCCCCCTTCTACTCTTCCCCTCAAATCCCCAAAGTCCACTGTATTATTCTTATGCCTTTGCATCCTCATAGCTTAGCTCCCACATATCAAAACATACAATGTTTGGTTTTCAACTCCTGAGATACTTCACTTAGAATAATAGTCTCCAGTCTCATCCAGGTTACTGCAAATGCTGTTAATTCGCTTTTTATGGCTGTGTAGTATTCCATTGTATATATATACCACAGTTTCTCTATCCACTTGTTGATTGATGGGCATTTGGGTTGGTTCCATGATTTTGCTGTTGTGAAATGTGCCACTATAAACATGCACGTGCAAGTATCTTTTTCGAATAATGACTTCTTTTCGTCTGGGTCGATACCCAGAAGTGGGATTGCTGGATCAAATGGTAGTACAACTTTTAGTTCTTTAAGGAATCTCCACATTGTTTTCCATAGTGGCTTTTCTAGTTTACATTCCTACCAGCAATGTAGAAGTGTTCCCTGTTCACCACATCCATGCCAACATCTACTGTTTTTTGATCTTTTGATCATGGCCATTCTTGCAGGAGTAAGATGGTATTGCATTGTGGTTTTGATTTGCATTTCCCTGATCATTAGTGATGTTGAGGATTTTTTCATATGTTTGTTGGTCACTTGTATATCTTCTTTTGAGAATCGTTTATTCATGTCCTTAGTCCACTTTTTGATGGGATTGTTTGGTTTGTACTGATTTGTTTGGGTTTGTTGTAGATTGTTTTGTACTGATTTGTTTGGGTTTGTTGTAGACTCTAGATATTAGTCCTTTGTCAGACGTATAGATTGTGAAGACTTTTTCTCACTCTGTGGGTTGTCTGTTTACTCTGCTGACTGTTCCTTTTGCCGTGTAAAAACTATTTAGTTTAATTAGGTCCCAGATATTTATCTTTGTTTTTATTGCATTTGCTTTTGAGTTCTTGGTCGTGAAATCCTTGCCTAAGCTAGTGTCTAGAAGGGTTTTTCCAATGTTATCTTTTATAATTTTTATAGTTTCCGATCTTAGGTTTAAGTCCTTAATCCATCTTGAGTTGATTTTTGTATAAGATGAGAGATGAGGATCCAGTTTCATTCTCCTACATATAGCTAGCCAGTGATCCCAGTACGATTTGTTGAAAAGGGTGTCCTTTCCCCACTTTATGTTCTTGTTTGCTTTGCTGAAGATCAGTTGGCTGTAAGTAGTTGGGTTTATTTCTGGGTTCTTTATTCTGTTCCATTGGTCTGTGTCCCTATTTTTAAACCAGTAACATGCTGTTTTGGTGACTATGCCCTTACAGTATAGTTTGACATCAGGTAAAGTTATGCCTCCAGATTTGTTGTTTTTGCTTAGCCTTGTTTTGGCTATGCAGGCTCTTTTTTGTTCCATATGAATTTTAGAATTTTTTTAATTCTGTGAAGAATTACGGTGGTATTTTGATAAGGACTGCACTGAATTTGTAGATTGCTTTCGGCAGTATGGTCATTTTCACAATACTGATTCTAGTCATCCATAAGCATGGGATTTGCTTCCATTTGTTTGTGCCATCTATGATTTCTTTCAGCAGTGTCAGGTGTATTTTTTTTGGTTTGGTAATTTCCAATAAAATTTCAAGGCTGTTTAAGAATGCTACCAAGAAAAAGAATAGGGGAAATGTGTTTCCCATTTTGGCTGTAGAAAATGGAGTAGATAATTGCTGAGTTACATAGATTCATGAAAGCATCAGTTCCTCTTTTTGCAGGGTAAATTTGTGACAGTGAATAT